TCGGGAACACGGCCCACTATCATTTTCCCAAGAGATTTGGTAAATTTAGATCGTAGAAGAATGGGGCATAAATTTGAAGTTATTAATTTCGAGGAGTACCAGTTGCGCTATTCTCATGGTTTTGAGATCAAATATTATCACAAATACGTACACGCACATACATACACATACTCACGCTCACACTTATGCGCGCGAGCGCGAACTTTGTTTTGCAAATACATGAGATAGCATTAGATAGTAGGATCTGTGAAGCTGGCACGACATTCTGTCGATATCAAAAAAATTACAACAGTTCCAGTAGCACTTTTCATAGTTCTACAGTTCTATCTAGAAATAAAAAATAGTTCCGCAGTTTTAATATGAAAAAACTAAAATTGGAAATATGGCGTGCTAACTACGCGAATCTGGCACGTCAGATTTCTTCTAAAGTACGAGAAAAAAATTAATATTTGCATTTTTAGCAACAGTTCCCGATAGTTCTACTAAAAACAAACTAAGTTATGCATTTTCAAAATAAAATAACAACATTTAACAATTTTTATATATCCTATATATAGAATTAAAAATATGTAGAGGCCGGAACTCTGCTTATAAATGATTGCATTGCATAGAACTCTGTGAGAACTAATGAGAACTGCCGTTGAAACTGATAGAAATAGTCAGCACGTCACTTTTTCTAGAAGTTTTATGCCATTTTCTATATATAGGATGTATAAAAATTGTTAAATGTTGTTATTTTATTTTGAAAATGCATATCTTAGTTGGTTTTTAGTAGAACTATCGGGAACTGTTGCTAAAAGTGCAAATATTAATTTTTTTCTCATACTTTAGAAGAAATCTGACGTCCCAGATTCGCGTAGTTAGCACGCCATATTTTCAATTTTAATTTTTTTCATATTAAAACTGCGGAATTATTTTTTATTTCTAGGTAGAACTGTAGAACTATGAAAAGTGCTACTGGAACTGTTGTAATTTTTTTGATATCGACAGAATATCGTGCCAGTTTCACAGATCCTAGATAGTAAATATATGTGTACATTTCATATCAGGCATCAAAACTTTCGCACGCACCAGTATCACTTTATAACGCGTTAGATAAACGTAAGAATGTTAATTGTGATTTCAAATTTTCTCGGGAAACATCAAGTTGAAAACTACTGTATATTAGTAGATGATATGATGACCGCTTTTAAGAATATCGGCGTTTATATGTCATTGAAAATCCATTTTTTACATCACCACCTTCAATTCTTTGAAAAGCAGCTTGCTACAGAGTCAGACGAACAAGGTGAAAAATTTCATCAATAAATCATGCAGATGGAATGTCGATACAAAGGAAAATCTCTACTTTCCATGATTTCTGATTTTTATGGTCAATTGCTGAATAAATTTAATAGTACATTGTGGAGGATATTTGTTTATTGCGCGGCCGGGCACGAGCGCACGAGCGAAGCGAGTGCCGATCTATAAACAAATATGCCCCCACTCGTTACACATAGAATTTTTCATTACAAGTGCTCGTCGTAATGTGCCCTATACAGCAACGTTTTTGCGCAGAAGAGTGGGATTAGAGAAATAACTCAACGGCTTGAGGTATTGGCTATTTACCGTATGCAAAAGCGTTAAGGTATAGGGCACATTACGTGCACGCGTGATGAAAAAAATATTAACATGCGCGTATATTTGTTATCATATATATTTGACCTCAAATCGCACTACCTGTATTCCTCAAAATTCATAACTATAAATTGATTCCCCATTTTTGTATGATCTAACTTTGCCACATTCCTTGGGGAAATGGTAGTGGGCCGTGCCCCCGACATAACCAAACCCACGCGCCCTTTGGAAAATTTTTGTGGTCACACAGTGTTATTAAGCTTTTTTTGCTTAAATAACATTAATTTTTGTTGTTAAAAAATTCAGCTATTAGATCTAAACTTTATTCTGATAAAAAGCAAAATTATTAAAAAATTTTGGAAGAAGGTATATGGTATACATATATATATGTATATATATATATCGCTATGTTCATAATATTTTATGCTTCGTCAGAATTTTCTATGAGACTACACGATAATCTGACGATTCTATTACCTCAGTTTGGAAAAAGTTATGAAAGCCAGGAATTGTTGTTTATGTCACAATTTTCTAATCGGAATAACTCTTGAAGAAGAATCAATACTAGCTTGCTTTTTCATTTCGAAGGAAGCGGAGGCGTACCATTCACCCAATTGGAACTGCTCGAGGCAACGCATCGAGGCCTGCACAAGTTCATATCACGGCATCATGATGAAATTGATCTTGAAATTGGAGACCCCATATACGTGCAAAAAGAGGCTGATGACCTCTGGTGTGAAGGTGCGTAAAAATATCTATTTTACAAAACATTGAACTTGACTCAGCTTGACTCAGCAATAATCGATGTAGTAGATTTCTTTTTCTTGTTTGAAGAAAATTGAGTCGATTTCTTCGGATTTTTAACAGCGACAATCAGATAATATTTTACAAATACATGTAATGATTTATTTTATAATATAATATTAATAAGTGCTAATTATTCAATATTACACATTAAAGATAACCATTCTTAAGCAACAAATATCTAGAAAATATAAATATAAATAAATAAAAAAAGGAAAAAAAACTTCATTTTTAACTGTTTTAAATATATTTAGACATATTCTGAATATTTATTCTATTATATTTAATTGTCAATTTTTTGAATATGTTAAAGTAAATAAAATAAAATAGAGAAATATATGAAATTAGTGCTATACTTAGTACTGACAAATTATCTTTTTATTCTTCGCGATTAGGCGTGAATCTAAGGACAGGCCGGCAAGGTATCTTTCCATCAGCTTACGCGGTCGATATGGACTATAGTGATTTTGATCCTACCGCGCCTAAAGTGAAGAGAGAAAGATATCTCCTAGGTTATCTAGGCTCGGTGGAAACCTTGGCACATAAGGGTACGGGAGTGGTTTGTCAGGCAGTGCGAAGAATTCTTCGCAACTCCTTACAGGATCCACCCGTCTCGCAGAGCTGCATTTTGGAGGTATCCGATCAGGGTCTTCGAATGGTTGATAGAAGCAAACCGCGAGTAAGTGTCTTTTTACGATCGATAGAGGTTTATTTATATACATACATATATTAAGATTTCAATTAATTATATAATTAATTATATTATTTAATTAATTTTTTAAACTTTATAATAATAAGATCAATTAAGACTTTTATAATTAAAAAACAAATTGGAGAGAATAAAGGGCAACAAGAGTCGAGCGCAGAAGACGTCGCGCAATTAAAAAACTAATAAATGACAAAAACCATTTATTCGAATAACACTCTTTTATTATGACAGCGCTACTATCATAATAAAAGAGCGTTATTGGAATAAATGGTTTTTGTCATTTATTAGTTTTTTAATTGCGCGACGTCTTCTGCGCTCGACTCTTGTTGCCCTTTATTCTCTCCTATTTGTTTTTTAATTTTTTAAATCACAGCTTCCAACTCTTCAATATAAACTCTATTTAGAAAGTACTTGTCATATTTTCTTATAAAAAATTTATGATAAAGACTTACGTATAAAACACTGTGTTTTATGCGCAAGACGTTATTTCATGCATTATGACTAATTATACATACACTAGTATTTTTTAATTTATTTAATTTAATATTTAATATGTACATGCGCATTAAGAAATAAAATTGAAAGAAGAAATAAAAGAAAAATTAGAAAATCGTCAAGTTTCTAATTGACAACATATTTTTAGAAAAATCAGGGTCCTTGTCACGATTATTTCTACTCGCTGAAGAATGTATCGTTTTGTGCATTTCACCCTCGTGATCATCGCTACCTCGGCTTCATTACGAAGCACCCCACTTTGCAGAGGTTTGCTTGCCATGTGTTCATTGGTCAAGAATCCACAAGACCTGTTGCAGAAGCTGTCGGGTGAGTTCCTTCTTTCGAAAACTTTTTAATTATTATTGAAATAAATCTGGCCTTGTATTAAATCACTTTGCGTGAAACCATTAACGTTAAAGTTTCTAATTATGTTTAATTAATTTTTTGAAATTATTATCAGTAATATATAATTGCAATATATTATATATATATTATTATATCATTTTATTATATTCAAATAATTGCAATTCAAAGTTAGTAATATTTATTTTTAAATTTATATATATAAAAGAAATTAAATGTTTTAAGTATCTTTCTCTAAATTTTAAAAAAAAAATTTTCTAGAAACAAAAAATCTATTGTTCATGGATTATAGATAATAACTCGGATGGATATAGATGATCCTTTTCTTCCAGACGTGCTTTTCATCGGTTCTACACGAAATTCATCGAGACTGCTTTCCCGATAGAAGACATCTACATTGAATAAATTACTCTCATTGTCAGTCTCACTTACAGTGGCTGCGGAGAAAATGTTAACTGTCACTTCCCTCTTATCCCCTGTATATATCGCCCGCTAGTTGTAGATATAAAATAATAAATGCGAATCAAACATCCAATTTATACATATATTGAACATATGTATATCTATGTGTACGGAGCATATTGCGAGTATCAAGACGAGCTCGAGCCTCTATTAATAGTTTATTATTTTTTATTATCATTTTTCTTTTTATTTGCCGTTCTTTATCGATCTTTTTCAATTTCGTGTGTGTAATCCAATATGATTTTACGTATATCAAACAGTGAGAAAAAATTATTTTTATCAAATAACATCAACTACAAAAATTACTCTTATTTTACGGATATCGTGTCAATTACATTGATGAAATTTTTACATTGAATTAAAATAAATTCTTAAATTTTTACTTTTTAATTTATGTTGACAAAACAGTGGTAGAACGATTCGAAAACAAAATTGTTTGAGTGAATGAAGATAAATGTTAACGCTTAATAGTTGACGACGAGAATTGATCTATTTTCAATTGCGAAGTTTTATTGCCGAAATTATATTTTCTCACAATTGAAAACAGAACGACTTCTGCAAATTATTTTAACCATTTAATCGCCAATGTTTCTAATTAGGATATAATTTCTGATGTAAACTTAAGTATATAAAAAAATTTTTTTTGCTATATAAGTGCTTGTTTAAAGTTACATGTATAAATGTAATTTTTTACATTAATGGAAATATTATAAAAGATTAATGTTTAAAAATATTTTTTAAAAACCTGAATTTTATCAAAACAGTCATTTTTTAGTCAAAAGTAAATACGAAGACATTAGAAGGTGTAAAACTATAATAATTTCAATTTCGATAACACTTTGGCGATTAGACGGTTAAATATGACGTGTTAAATATCCATCGCATAATCGAAAGGATTACACTTTCTTTGACTAGACCTCGTTTCTGTTTAAGATCGGAAGAAAGCATGATATATATGTATAATCGCGTGGTGCCCGAAAAAAGACTTCGTTAAAGACTCTCTAATAAGCAGATTTGGTAATCAATAGCGAATTAATTCCTAAATCCCAATTCCACGACCAAGTTAATTAATCCGCTTAGTGACGCATAGGAAGACGGAATGACAATAGAGAATGACAGAATGTTAAATCATTCGAAATTTGGCGAAAAATCGACAAATCATAGCTAGATATCGAGTGATTTGAGAAAAGGAGTGATGCTTTAACTTTTGGCGCGTATCGGATGTGCTTCTTGCTGATGACGTTCTTCACCGTAGCAACGAATAGTCATCTAGAACGATCTCCAATTGTATTGTTCTTATTGTTAGAGAACGGCGGTCCGCGCGTGGGCGCGCCGTTATTTAGAAACTCGTATATTTTTCTATCTTATTTCTTTGCGGCAGAGACTCATTGATCATAATAAGTTTCACTTGTACGAGACGAGTCCCCCGAAGTTTATACTCTCGAATCTCTCCGCGCGAAAAACAGGAAAAAAAAAATGTTATCGAAACGCACATGGGCCTCTGCATTTGAAGTATCATTATTGTGCTGCATCGTAACGTTTCTAGAAACTTATAAAGAATATGAACCAAATTGCAAGTACGTACAGCTTCGTTGACGGAAATGCGAGACGATAGGAAAGTATAGGAACTGAAAGCGATATAGCCTATCGTGCAGTCGAGACGAGCAGTGTCATCATCATAACTGATGTCCTATAAACTTTCGATATCCATTTTTATTCAGTTGCTATTTCACACTGCCTTTATCAGGACGTTGCGTACGCAGAGCGCGTGTACGATGTCCCAGTCGCACGAATTATTTATTATCAGTGTCTATTGATGTTGAATTTCTATAATATCACATAAATAATCGATGGTATTACCATCAATTTTAAATCGATGGTATTACAATCAATTTTAAATCGTTGCGAGAACTGTTTCAACAATTTAACAAAACATTGATACTCTCTAAAATGTATTTTCATTCTCAAATCTGTAGTAATGTCGAAAGGACTTATGGATTCCATGTTAGTTTTTTTTAATATCACCAATACACAGCATATTTAACAAATTAAAATAATCATTAGAATCATTTTGCAACAAAATCTTGCGATTTTATAACTGGGATCTCTTATCCGCGCGGCAGGGTCTTGTCAATTTATGAATATCTCCTTGACAATACGAGCTCTGTGCGTTGTCTTACTTGGGATTTGGTGCATGTTAGATAAGTACGACTCACACGCCTTGATTATACGGTATATTGAATAAAAATTGAGAAACAAATTCCAGTGATTTCTCATTTTAGGGAGCTTTCATTTATCGCGGTACACAAAACGTTTAAATGTGCCTCGAAATGCCGTGCCTTTTCGATTATTTTCTTATACAACTACGGTATCATTATCACACACAAATCGTCACTATTTTAATGACGTAGTAATTTCTTTCGAATATTTTTAAAGCACATCACTGAATGCAATAAAAGAGGTATGCGATGGAAACAAAAATAAGAATTTTTAATAAATTTATATCCAAGTTTTTTACCCATTAAAAATAATTAATGATAGCGATTGCATAAACACATTAAAAATATCGATTGACTATAATTTTCTCATCTTCTTATAATATAAATTTGAATCCATCGGAAGTTGTTTCAATAATAATGTATTATCTCAACAATATTAGTATATCTGAAGCAATGAAATCTTTACTATTTTACGTTTGTAAACTAATCTGTAATTATTTATATAATAATCTAAATTTTTTTCGCAAGTCTGTTTATTTAACAAAAACAAAGAACTTTTAATGTCACTTGTGTGACATTAATATCTTAAAATACGGTGTAATTCCTTTGTAGATTTTTAAATGAAGAAGGGTTAAATATAAGTAAATTAAACGATGATCGATATACTTCCACAATATTCATATAATTTCTACATATATTTCTTTCAGAGACAGTATTATTTACAAAAATGTTTCACCTTCTTTGAAGTCTTAATAATTCAGTCTTGACATAATAACTGTACATGTACATGATCGTCCCTCATCATTATATTCCTTTATTTGTTACAATTACATATTTTCCTCTTTTTCGTGTATGCACGCATACTTTTTTGTTATATATTAAATATATAATAAATTAGCCGAATTTATGCAAATTATATGTTTTAAATTATTAGTTCTCTTCTTTATCACAAACGCAAAGTTCATCCAATTAAAAAACAAATTATTTCTTATTTACAATTTTCTTTGACGTATAGACATATATCATGCTCCGCGCTATCAATAATTCCTGAGCCAAATAAATATCTGTATCATTCCTAAGCGACTCGACCGTAAACATTTTTATAAATCTCTGCGCGATTTCTTTAAACTCATTCACAACATATGCATATTTTTATGATTTTTGTTATCTTACATTCTCTCTTGGCAAGAATCATCCACCTCCAAGGTAAAGTAGAAAAAAGAGAAATAGAAGATCTATGACTGTTTTTAACCCATATACATTGTGTTACAACGTCATAAGCCAACGATAATCGAATATTAATATTATAAATTTATTTTTACATTTTAATACAATCCACTCTTTATAAAAAATTCTAAATATATTAAAACATTCTGAATCTGTGTGCTTTCTGGCAGAATATACTAGAATATATAAAATAAAAAATGCCAAACTTAAAATGTATAGAACTATGATAAAATCAATGTGAGATGCATTATTAATATACATATACATATATGGTAAAAATAAAATGAAAGCTTACATAAAGATAATAATAAAATTATAAAATATATAATTTGGCGGTGGATTCTTACCGGAGTGGCTCGCAACGCGAATTATGTTTGATACGTTCCTCTATCGGAATTTACATAGTGCTTAACAGCAAAAAACATTGAGATTACAGTATATTAGAAAATTTTTTACAAACGTTTTCGCTCATTACAATTATCGGCCGGCTGAGACTCATTCGAAATAATTCACGTGCTCATATATGGGTCGTTTTAATAAAAATAATAAAGCTAATATGTGAGAAATGTTAACTAATAACATGTGAGCAATCTGCAGGAGAGGTAAGTATAAACTATAATTTTTGTTCTCCCATTATTTTACGAAAAACGCAACTCTTTTGTGCGTGCAATTTTCAACGAGCCATACGTCATCGTGAAAATTTATAATTAATTCTCGTGTCGGTATGCTTAGTGCAAGTATGATTAGTATCTGGGCATTTACAATATAACATTAATTAACTCATCTTTGTAGTTGGATGAGTAATCGTATAGCTTTTATCCTGCAAGTATATCTTGCCCCGATACAAGTGCTACAAATTAACACAAATTAAAAAGATAAAAATATTATACTTTCGATGTAAATTACAACAATCGTAAAAAATATTTTTTGGATACTTCTCATCTTTAAATAAAAAACTTAAAAATTTTCATGTTTTAAAAAGCAATAACAATCGAATTATACAATTCGATTCTATAAAGATTTAAATGGCACTGACGCATACCACACATTCTGTATTTAATATATCTATACATGTATGGAGGCGTATGAGAGGAAAGTACACAACCACACTTAATCGCCTTTGCTTTTGCTTCTTATAGAAAGAAATCGAAAAGCCACTTATGTGCAATCAGCAGAGTATAAAATATAATAACGCAATATATATATTTACAGCGGTATATAAAGTTGAACTTTATCTTAGCGTATAATGAACCGTAGAGCCGTCTGTGTTGCATTGGTATCCACTTCTTTCCAATAAATATCGAGCAGCCGTCCGTTTTATCTCTCTCTCTTACTTATCTTAAGATAAAAGAGTTTAGAGGGGATCTCAAATCTGTTTTCCTTTCAATCACTGTAACAACAATACCTTTAACATGTGCGATTACAATCACATACAATTTAATTTTTTTCGGTATATATATCCGGGATGAAATTATGTGCATAATAAAATTATGCATATAATTTTATCCTGGAAAGATTTAGATGCCTCTACTCCATTTCGTAAGAATAAATGAATTCTTAAATGACTACAATGCACAAAATGTGCTGTACAAATTGCAATAACGCTTGGTTGTCTTTCAGAATTTATAATAGATACTACAGAGTAGTATGGCGTATATTGTAAAAATCAATGATTGTAATAGTTTAATCGGTTTTTTTTTCCAACGACTTTTATTTATTTCCAACGACGTTACTAATCTTTTGAATGATATCTTTTGTAAGCATACGGAAACCAACAAATATTGATCTTCAAAAAAGTTATCTTTATGCTAAAAGAAATAATCTGATAGGGTTAAAGAATTCTGATGAAAAATAGACGAATTAAAATTTTCTCATTAAATCAACTAAAATTCTAGTTGAGATAAATAGCAAGTCTAATATATATAAATATTCCCGTAAAAATAAGAATTGTAGTAGGTTTTATCAGAAATATTGTATCAACCAAAATTCCGATTATCCAAAAACTAAAATTCTAATAAATTTAATCAGGAAATTTTGATTCGTCCATTTTCAACTAAAAGAAATTTTTTTCAGTGTAGTTATCATTTTTCCTATTTGAGTTGACTTTTACTGTTACTTTCTCGTATGTTCATAACTAATGTATGCAACTAAAATATAAATTTAAACAGGTATTGTTTATAAATGCCTTATTATGTATATTATTCACAACCAAGCTGATATATATTCAAAGCCATACGACATATTAATACCAGTTATTATCGGTACGACTGATGATAGTATGGAGAGTTAGTTTAAGAGAAAGAGAGAAGAGGATAAGGTACACTGAACACAGACAGTTTAAACTTGTCCTTTGTACTATAAGACCGTAAGAAAAATTGAGTATCAAGGACGATGTTGAGTCGCCTTGATGCTCGTTTTACGTACGGTCATAAATTATGCGAATGTCAATTTCGTACATACAGGTCGATTAGATATTCCCGTTTTTTCAGCGGTGGATTTCCGCATAAAAATGTAGATTCTCACATCGATGACGAGTGCTCAGTATGAGAAAGTAGTCAAGTTTCTTTGATAAAACAGACAAGGGAAGTAGGCTATACTCTAAACTTCACAGTTCCAGCATTACATATACGATCGTAATTATGAGGCCTTTACTGATCAATAATCTTGACTTCCTCACTCGACATCAATGTAACATTAAAAACAAATTAACAGAACTTTTTACAATGAATATAATGTACTTATATATACATGGCATATGTGTGTATACGTATATGCACACATATACATATATGTATGTATACTATATGTTGTTACATTGTATTTTTTACAAGTAACAATGAAATTCCAAGTCCCACACGTAGATGCATGATAACAGAACGCAAGAGCACAAAAAACCTATACATATAATAATAATAGAACTCAGGAAGATGAAAAAGGAGGAGCCGAAGGTTGTTTCTCGGCTAAAATAACAGTCGAGTAGTATATCGCCTATCTTGGGGAAACATCAAAAACGTAGCAGAAATCATTATCAAAGACAATATAAACTTAAAAATTATTAAGTAAGATACCAACATATTCCGCGAATCAAACAACTTAAAACTGTATTATTATTATTTAAATACGATAAACTTGATAAACATGTTTGTATTGAAAACTAGAATTCGAAATCAAACGATTATTTTGTATCGGATTTTTTGTTATTCCTCAATCGATTGAAAATTTTCCTCTAAATTATACATGTTTAAATAATAATAAATTTGTTGCTTAATTCCTAAAATATTTTGATGTTTCAATTAACAATTTTTTATTAATAAATGTGATAACATTAACTTTACTGATTTTTCGCAATTTTTCTTATGTTCTCGATGTTTCCATAAAATAAGCGATACATGACTCAACTCTGCTTAAGCAGTCCTTTAATATGATACATAATTACATTTCAAAATCCTTGTTTATATATATTAGGTTGATTAACAAAATCGTATGTTTCAAAATAGTGTTTTTTAAATGTAACTATAGAAAAATAATTCATTTCTTTATCAACTTAATACATGAAAAATAGCACGCGGTTATAAATAACGTTCATTTTAGATAATCCATGAGTAATTCTTGTTCGAAAAAAAAGTTTAAGTTTAAAATGCTGTTGCGATCTGAAATCAGATTTTACATCTTATTATTTACAGACCCGCCTTCACAATAATTATATATGTAGGATTCAAACAAATTTGTAGATCTTTAAGTGCCAGTGCTGAATATGTTGACAAGTGTACTGTTTCCGTCACTCTCTTATATTAATATCTTTTATACTTTAAACACTTTTATATGATATACAATTTATATTCACGCTGAGAGAACCCGCATAAGTAATTGTAGCAACACGATTGGCTAATATGTATTATATTTATCTCAATAATTAACACATAACGTCAACCGTGTCAACTTCCACGCAACTATAATCATTAATGCGGAAGTCAATTAACAGCGGAATAAAAATATCGTTTATTAATATGTATGTTTGCATAATAACATGATATTGGATGGATAGCAAGGCCAGTGGGACATAAAAAGTCATTCAAGAAAATTATAAAAGAAAAACGAATTAAAAAATTTCGTATATAATAAAATCTCTTTATGCAGCTTGATACGTTTTTGTAAGAAATTGAATTAAAAAATAATACGAGTAGATTTAAAAATGTATCGTTTATATTTATTTTATATTATGTTTAATGCTTTTATGTTGCAAAATTAAAGTATATTCTTGGAGGTTCTTTATTGCACTTACGGAAACTTAATAAAATTTAGAGATATATTTAGGGTTACCACATTTAAAAAATATTTAAAATAGAATATATTTTAAAAAAGTAGAATCATTCATGAAGCAAAATAATCGTGGTGGGGAAAGGATAACCAAGTATAAAATGAGAGTATGTATTTATTATTTATTATTATATATTATTTATTTGTAATGACTAATTTTATATTTGCATCGCTTTTTTATAATACGGGCTTCTAATTTTCAAACATTACAGAACATTTAAGCGTAAATGAAATTCAGGTACATGCAGTTGTTAAACTGTCTCACTAAAAATAGAACAAATCCAGTCTATAGTGTGGCAACCCTATAGACATATCCCTAAATTTAATTTTTTGTTCTTCCACATAAATACGCAATAAAATTTACGAGACGCGATAAGTTATAACATCATTTGTTAAAATTACCAAATTGTTTTTTCATATTTTTAGTAACGTTCTTTTATAATTATAAAAATGTCAGTGCTATGAGTATTATTAATATTTAACACCATAGATTCGCAATTACAACCGACAGAATAAAGAAATAAGTGAGACTGGTTCTGTATCCATCCGATACAAATACGTAATCGCAGAGGTAGTATTTAAGCTCGACCGAATTCGCGGCGAGCGAGTTAGCACGAAGAAAGTGCCGCACGCGGTCGTGCTGTATTAAAATCGAATGTATATCATATATATATACAAGTTCATTACATCGTAAAATTTGAAAATTGCCAACTGCATAACACTCGATCGCCGCAGGAAATCTGCCCGAGTAGCGACTGTTATTTATAACGTATCAACGTAAATAACAGTATTCAATGCGATTTTGTACGATCTTTGCATAATCAGTTAGTGAGCAAAGCGCGCGACCTTTTACATGACAGCGCGCAATTAAAATTCTTAATCCCACAGAGTTAAGAAAACGACAAGGAAAGAAAAAGAATAATTTATATATGTTAATCGCTCAACTATACTATGTGAGTTCTTTTCTTCACTGTCTTCCCACTTCGTTTCTTTTTCACTGATCGAGGAAAAATGCGGATCGAAGCAAACACAGACTGTTTTAGTAATAGATAAATCACTTGCGGTCAACTTAAGTAATACCTTCTTCTTCGTAAGCTGAGCAGTTTTACATATGATACCCGCAAATCTCCGTTGCTGTACTGATAATAATTATCCAGATTTTTGTCATAAATCTTGATGATATCAGTAATTCCAAAACAGAGAAATCTCAGAATACGATATTGCAACACAAATCGAGAAATATTATGCAAATTGCGCGTGTGCCGAAAGCTTTGTTCTAGTCCTTTAAGGAAAGGATAACTTTTAAAGCTTATTTCTTATTAATTACAACAATTACAATTCCGAGATATATCATATTAAGTTCGCTTCTTGAAAGCGGTTTTCACGAAGTGACTCGGAGACCATTCCGTTTCTCAGATTCCAAGCTTTTGCTTAGCGCTCACTTGCATTTTACAGTGATCCTGTTGTAAGGTTTTAAGCATTTGCTTTTGCATATTATGCTCGGCCTGGAAAATAACGAAGAAAAAGTAATATCTAAATATATTGTACTATATTTCTTTTGTATTACATCAACCTAAGTACCTGTAACTGGGACAAGTTTTCTCTTTGAAAACGGAGAGCTGGGTTCTTGAGATCACGTGCCAATACGTTGATTTGGGATTCGTGCAATGCCATGCTGTCTGCTAACTGGTAATACGTGCGACTTAACTCGTCACTCACCACTTGCTAAAAATAATATGTAATTTAATCTCAATCATTTTGAACTACATGTTTAAAATCTTTATAATTTATAATAAATCATCTATCACATTTTATACAATATACTTACATCATCAGGTGTTAGTTGTTGTATTTTTGTTTCGTCAAAATCTGAAATAACTCAACCAGAATTAATTTAACAAACATATGTTTCTAAAAATATTCATGAATGCTATATAAAACATAAACTCACCTTCGAAACCTACAGGCCCATTACGCAGACCGCCAAATATCTTCATCATGAGTTCTGAAACAAAAAGAAAAAATTGTATTCAAGAATATATCAATTACTACAAATTAATTTCATATATACACTCAACAGCAAAATTAAAGCATCACTTATCCTACCTCCCAAAAATAGGCAAACTTTAAAAGAGTGTAACTTTGCCAAAAATAATCGTAAAAAAATTTGCAAAAAAGTATTCTAAAGCTTGAAATCTCTCTACTTTCGAAAATAGTAATTGATATTTTGATTTGATTAATTCTTTACGAAGTTATGCGAACACAAATTAAAGTGCGTCAAATCTAAAAATTTTTTACTAATTTTGAGAAATCTCATGGCGTGAATTAAAAATCATATAAAAATTCGATTTACAGCATTCGAAGTCTAGCATGAAAATTCCCCGAGATAAATGGAGTTGAAGTGACACTTTTATTTTTGTAAACCTTCGTCTCTCTCTCTCTGAAGCGAAATTATTCTTATTTCCGACTCGCAATTTCGACGAACTTAATCCGTGTAAATAAGAATAACAGTTGTTTCAAGTGATTAATAGGGAATGTATTTTCAGGGTATTTTATAAAGCACGTCCCCTCATAAATAAAATGTGGTGAATAATACAATAGATTGTTCTCTGAACAATGAATCGTAGATGATCCATTTGACAGAATATACCCTCAATATTATCGATGAACTTCAGCCACGCATTTTTCCTTATGCAATACATCCTGACTGAAAATTATTACTTTTACCTACTTGTATTTCCGGAATCGTGTCTATGCTCATCTTGAAATTTTACTGGGATTAATGTTTCATCTAATAGTACTATTTGTAAATTCATAAAAAAAGTTTAAAATTCGAGGTCCAAAAAATAGGTGAAATTTGCCATCACTCTTTGCCTATTTTTGAGGAGCAGGATAAGTGATGCTTTAATTTTGTTGTTAAATGTATACATATATGTATATATATGTATATATAAGAGGAGAGTGGTCTAAATCGGACCTAATTACAATTTTTGTTCTCTATATGGCGTAAATAAATTCCGATCATAAAACCAATGATGCCGTTTGAAAGATCATTTAATTTCCTTCATTTTTGCTTAAGACCATTTTGACGTATCTCTTACTTGTGTCGAACTATAATGGAAAATATAAAAATGCATTTTCCGGTCCGATTTAGAACTGAGTTCCAAATCGAACCTTTCCTATTTTTATGGACTTTTAGATAGAATTTTTAAATATTTTAATTAATTTTAGTAAGTATTGAGTAAAAACGAGCAATTTAAGACTCAAAGATAAAAATACAGTTTATATTATTAGAATTAAAATCAATAAAAAATTCCATCAATCTGAGTTTGATAACACATGATATTTTATTTAGTATTTCTTAGACTAGATCTGATTGGTCGATCACCAGTACTACAACCAGGTTGTGGCGAACCTTCTTTTTTCGATGAATTAGTTGTCTTAATCGTCTTTTAAGTGTTTTTTGTATACATAGATCCGATTTGGACACGGGTTCTTTCGAACAATTGGAACAAATGTTACAATAAACCTGCAAATCACAAAACTCTTGATATTTTTGAATTCTGCACTCTTTAATTATCTTAAATCAATTATCGTTCAAATTTTTAACATTTTTAAAATGATTTAAATAAGGATTTTCTTTTTTAAAAAAATTTTCGCATGATAGCCAAAAAATAAAAATACATATTTGCGTCTATTCTATGAACGTTATGACGGAGTACTGCCAAACTACTGTCACATGTGCAGTGTCTTATAAGGATTTTACATTGTAAATAGCACGCAAATCTGCTTAACCGTATTTATTTAAATTAAAAAGGTCCGATTTGGAACACAGTCCGATTTAGGACATTTTTCCCTATATACCTATCCTTATATATATAAAACTGCAATGTAATTTTAAATGTGAATAGAAAAATTAAATAAAATATAGCTCAGATATATGTATATGAATGTAATATACTTTCAGTATAGATTATACCATATTACTATTTAAACATTATAAAATAAATTTGGACATTTTTATTCTTCGATAAACGATTATTTATTGTAATGAGCATACTGGATAGCTCAATATAAAAGAAATTGCTTGTTAAGCAAAAGATTCCTAGCACCATTACCTAGCATATACTTAAAAATTTTTAGTAGGAAAATACACAGTGAAAAATTTTCAGTGAAACTTAATTTCAAATAGAAATAAACAAATCGCAATACTCCAATGTAAAATAAAAAATTGTAATTTACCTGGATTTGCGTCAAGTTCCGAACTTAACAACGTATCTTCCTTCAGATCCTGCAAATCTACAAACTGCTCTTCGTCGTGATTCGTTACGACTAGATTCGGCACGACGGGATCTACCAACTGTTGATAATCGGTTCCGACTTCATGTAGACTCGAATTAGGCGACTCCGCCACTGTCAGCGGTTGCGAATTGACATCATTGTATTGATTGAATTCATCTGAAAATGTCGGATACTCAGACGCGAAAGATCTGCATTTTAAATAGGAGCGCTGTTGTTCGTTGTTTATATTCGTCGATGTGTATACATCGTTAGATCTCTTTTTACTATGCATCGCTAGAAGATCCTCATCGCTACATATCCTTTTCAGTGGACATCGATTATGCACTTCAATCCCCGACGAAGCGATAGAATTATCACTCGCACTGTCATCAAAGTATTGTGCCTCCTGTTTTTTCACACAATTAAATGTTTCCTCGATACCACGTTCCACCTTGATATTGCATACAGTGCTACCTCCATTCAAAACATTTACGATTGGAGGATTGTCCAAACATGATGTATGATTACGAGGTGCGCGAGAGCTCTTACCAGACTTGCGAGTGGTAAGAACTTTCGATTGTACAGGCATATCAACGTTCTGGACATTGCCATGGCTGTTGTGGCCAGCGTTCATCATTTCAAACATTGATAATGGCTTGCCAGACGGCACTGCACTCTCTGAATCCGATATTGGGCTTTGTTCCGCGCTACTGGGGTTAATCAACTTTCCGATGGTATGTTTGGACTCTTGCTTCGGAGTTACTTTGCCTTTACCTTTGCCTTGAATAACGATGCAGCGGTTGATTTTATTGATACCAATCTTATTGGCTTGTGCGGAAACTGGAGGCATACGAGACGAGAATATAGCAGCCTTTACATACTGTGTATGTGGTATCGGTGAGGGAGAGAAATTCTCTTCCGTTATAACCGACGAGGGTAAATCGCTGATTAGATGATTGATAGCTACTTCGAGCTGTGATGGATCCTCAACGTTGCCTTTGGAATTCAACGACTGGACGTTCTAATAAATTTTTTTTTTTTCGTGAAACAATCTTTTTACTAATAGTTTTATGCGCAATGTAAAGAAAACTCATTGCGTTAGATCTACATACACATATGTATAATTTGACTTACCAAGTCTGATGGTTGTGCGTTAATGTCGACATCTTCAATTAAACTTTTACTACTTGCGGACACGATTGCAGAGAACCTCATTTTCATCTCTTTTATTAATTGAATTCCCTCTTTTTTCCTACACACAAAGTTTTCCTATTGTTATGTATTATTGAATAGGTATATGTTACATGACATATCCAATGTGTTTGTTTTAGCACTTTGGGAACAAAAAGAACAGTTTTTTTTTCTTGGGCTGGAGCAAGTGGAAAAGCAGGCCAAGTGTGTATAAAAGCACATATTTTACTTGAAGAATTGTTTCATGATTTCAACTAATTACTGAATTTTGTGTGGTAATTATTCTGCAAGTGCTCTACAAGTATTTGAAAAACATAATCGAATCTTTTAATGTTTATTGTTCGTTAATATCTCTATTCGGATCAATCTAAACCGCCTTGTCACTTGTCCCAATCTACCCTAAATAGCGAAACTGTACTTACGTCACCATGGTGTTAACACAAACGAAGGATTCCACCGTATTCATATCTCTGTCAATTTCCAAATAACCGTGGGTCCGTAAGTAGATGAACTCACCGTTCTTTGTGAGTAGCCTGTAGCACGACGAGCCGCACATTTCGGCACGGTCGTACACTATGGATGTAAAACAAATCATGATTAATTACGAGAGCAAAACGATATTTGAACCAATACGAATTCTAAATAGTCATTTTGCATATACTTTTTGCCATATCTAAATTGCAGTTGATTATGGAAATGGCATGTAAAATATCTCGTAAGCGCTCGCGTCATAAAGTCTATGAATACATTAAAATAATGTTGACAAATAATGTATGAATATGGTAACATTATTAAACTAAAACTGTTAAATATACTACATGATGTATAATTTTAATAATTTAATCATTGAACGTGATAAAAAATATACATAATATTAATTAAATAATTTAAATATTTTTCTTCGAATTTTAAAAAGGAAGGAGAAAAATATTGTTATTGTTATAAAATGTAATGGCCGCCAAGTGATACAACAAGTATTCCAATACGAAAATTTAACGCTAGTTACATTTGAATGCTTACTTTGTCGTAGGCCGATCATCGTCCACCTCCAATCATCCTTGTGCATGAAGCCGAACGCGTTCAGGCCTGATATCTCCTCTGATAGGTACCCGGCAATGACCGATACCCTGTGATCGCAATAAATGATACGCCCGTCAACCAGATGCCGCGTCACATACTCGTCTTTATTGGCGTCCATTATCGATAATTCGGTGATGGGCCGTTTTTGTGGTAGGGTCGCTACACCAGCAAAAACGATGTCGTTGCTTGTGCTCGTCGTCTCTGTTAAAACCATTTCAAATGTATTATCATTAGCAAAACAATCAGTAGTTGCACGAAGTAAAATCGGAAATGTAAGCCGATTGTCCTGAGAGAATTTAGATGACGGCGATGAAAATACTTAAAAATAATATTCAACGAGAAGGGATACTCAGGTAACAAGCTGACATCAAAATGATGACACAAATAACGTCAACTTGCTACCTGCGGATATTTAGATTTTTCCATCGTATTAAATAATTGATGAAAGAGCGATTGATGTTTGATTTCGGGATATTAATCAGTCTTAAATCATAACAAATGAATTGAAGGTTTAAAGGACTCTATTATTTTTAATAATAATTCACACGTTAAATAAGGCGAATAAGAGTCAAATTACAATATGAAATCTAATTTTGATAATTTATTCTAATATTATATATTGCGAAGAATATCACGTAATTTTTGGCGTTTCGTCCCGGCTTCCACTACTGGACATCATAAGTTACTAAGGAGGTGAAAGATTTAAAATACAAATATAATCATATTTTATTTCCTCTCAGCAAGCTCTATGGCAAAAATATAATTTCAACCAGCTTATTTATTTAATGCCGAAAAGCGGAAAGTTACGTAGGATGTTGGCTTTCTATTAAATATTCAAGTAGGAAAAGAATTCAAAATACATACACATCAAAGAATTCGCGAATTGAAAAATAGCGCGCGATAGGTCTGGATACCCTATATAATAAGGATCGTTAAGCACGATCGAAACCCGCCCTCATCGGGTCCATCTCTTTATAAATACATCTTTCTAAACGGCGCTTTTCGCCATTCAATTCTTATCTTAGAGACAAGCAATAAAAAAAAGGAAAAAGAAATCTACGCTAAACACTCGTGACGCTGCGCCTACATATTTTCGTCCGCGATGGCGAAGGTCTAAATTTAAATTCAGGAGTAGCGTAAATATTTGCGATACTCGTTTTGAAACCAGCACTACAGGTTTTCAGCCGTATCGTGCGATAAAACGAGACCATCGATCCGAGAAATACGTGCGAGAGAGTCACTCACTACACGAACCATTGGACATGGAACACGTAATGAAGTTCGATATTGTTGATTTATAGGGAAAACCATGGTCGGTTGTCATATGTGATTGATTATCAAAAAGTTAATAACTCAATTAATAACAGAGAGTTTCTCTTCTTTTTATTGTAGGTTACTGATATAATATTAAATTGACGTGTAAAATGGTTTGCGTTATAAACGTCATGTATATTGCTTAAAACACGACTTTTAGAATAAAGAAAGGAAATTTTTCTCAGTCTTTTTCTGAGTTCTTCTCCTTTTCTCTTTTAAAAAATGGCCATTTAATATAGATTGATAAGCTAAATTAGAGATTTGACAGTTAATTTCAATCTCTTTATTTTCAATATTTTTAAAGAATATATTTATATAAATATAATATTTCAAGTAGACGTATGTACTTTTTCACTTTTCGTGTATTATAGAAGTTATAATATAAATACAAATTACGTATTTTATGATTAACTTGTATCAGTACTATAATTACTATTATTTCCTCAAATATAAAACTAACATTAATAAAAACTATATTTTTAATATATTTTATACATAAAAAATATATGGCTATTAACATGTCAATCAACTCTGAGTAACTAATGAGTTACTGAGGGACTAATCGTCACATTTTCACGTAGCGAAATTATTTATTTAAATTTAAAATGAAATAGCTTATTTATACAATATATGCGATGTAAACAAAAATATTATTTGTTTAATACGGAAAGGATGATAAATGTAGGTATATTATAATGTATACACATGATGTTAAAAATTATATTCTCTCTCTTTTCTCAAAATTATTAAAAAACTGCGATAACCGGTCCTGATGTCCCCTAAAAGACATCTGCGTCTTGTTGTTCCACACGATAAAACGAAAAACTTGATTGTCGAATCGTAATTGAATTAAATGTAAAATAATATAAGCAAAATATTTGTTGATAATATCAGTGAATTGCTACTATAAAATCAGAATCTATGTTATTTAACAGACAATTTATCTTTTTTATCAAACTGATTTATGAATCAATTTTCTAAACTCTCATAGTAGTTCCTTAAAATTTATAGCGCAATTATTCTATTCCCCCAATATTTCAATAAGACATTTTATTTAACAACTGCATACAATGGATAAGTCAGAGGGTAAACGTAATTTGAAGCAGAAAAACAAAGTCTTAAAATTTGGACTTAAGATCTGTATGTTATTCGAATCAGCATGTCAAAATGTTACTCTGATGTCAATCACTCTAAATCACAGTACTTACACTTTTTATGTGTCATATTCGAAATGTATAATTTATGTTTTAAATCATGCAAACTAATTAAAATAATGAACTACGGCACAATAAATTAAGTGATAAGTTAAGAAGAACGTAAAAAATGTATAATAAAAGTGAAATTCATATTTTAGTTAACACTCTTAAATCTTTTCAGATTTATCTTCTAAAGTTAATTTACTCGATGTGAAATTTCAATTTCGCAACGCAGCTGTTATAAGATGATAGTTATTTCAAGCTGTTACAAGATAATAGTTAATGTCTATCGAAGGACGGTTAAGACTCACCTCGTTGTCTTCCTTTGTGCCCGTTATTGTCCGCATTTTTACAGGCTTCTGCGAGCCGAAGAAGACCCGAAACCTCAAAACACTCGTACTGCGTGTGGTCGCGCCTAGAATTAGTACGCTGCGCCATGCGGATTTTAAAGTTCCGTCTCTGCTCGTAGAAGCGTTTGGTCCTTTCGTTCGATCGTTGACTTGACATTGAGGATTCCTCAGAAGAGTTGGAACTGTTGTCATGTGTTAACTCGGACACCTGTGAAAGGTTCGTTGGTGACGGCGTCGACGACATTGGCTGCATCCCATCGGGCGTAAGATTACGCGTGAGCTCATCACGGTCCTCAGGATAGATGAAATTGTACAGGGACTGACCCAGCAATTCGTTCTGCAAAACACAATTTCCGAAGTTCAAATGAGAGAGTCTAATTCCGAAGTTTAGATGAAGCTATTTTACACCGCCGGTGATGACCTTTGTTAACTCGTGACTTGTATATCGCAACATATAATCATATACAGTCATGCAATAGTCTCTCGCAGTAGGGATTATATTAAGGAAAAAATTAGAATTACAAGTTGCGCGTATACGTTAAACCAGGTATAGCCTTCTCGTTTTTATAATTATAAGTCATTTTATCCAGGATAAGTAATACTTCGGAACGCTAAAAGGATCAATGTTTTCTTCTCATCTCTTCTGTAAAACACACACAACATAGTATCTTTCATGATTTTCGTAAAAATACATTTACATTTTATATAAACAAATACATAATTAAATACATATCGTTCATCAATTTTCGCACAGTAGAAGAATCACGGTAGAAATTATTATAATTTCTTCAAGTTAAAATGTAGCACGATGGATGTATTTAATTCTATCCATTTTCCATATATACAGAGTACCTCCGTGCTTATTCTTCCAATAGAAATACTTTAAAGTTCTTGAAGTTGGAGTCCTCAGACTCCTTCTGTGAAGAGCTATGCATACACGTTAAACTGAATGATATCTTTCGCGCAGTAAATCGCATCGTGATACGACGATGACGATGACGACGACGACGACGACGACGACGACGACGACGAGGACGAGGACGAGGACGAGGACGAGGACGACGACGGCGATGACGACGACGACGACGATGACGACGACGACGACGGCGGCGGCGGCGGCGATGCACCATGTCGGCGACGGAGCTTATTTTCATCGCAGGCGGTTTCTCCTTGAGAACAATACAGCCTGATTGTGAGTGCCTTCTTAAAAAACGAGAGCAAGCCGCAAACTGCGCTCGCAAACAACTCTCGTCTCGTCTGCCCTTCTTCCACCTACTCCTTTCTTGTTCCTTCTCTATCGTCATCAGTTCTGGTATCTTTTGCACAAGTGGAACCAAAAGGAGGAGAAAGAAAGAGAAAGAGAGAGAGAGAGAAATAGTACTTGGTCGTCTTCCAAGAGTCGGTTCGTTATGGTAGAGTGGCGAATTATCGTTACGCTTGAATCTGGAGCGCCACCGACGAAACGCCCGCAATCCATATAGCGCGGGGGACATTTTTTACATTTTATCCACGGCTGTCCCACTATCATCCGTCTCGTTGTTTTTTCGCAAAAACATGGAGGAAACCTTCAGGTATTGCGGGGAGCCGGGATGAGAAGCGATAGCGCACGTTTGCGGAGTTTTCACCCTCGCTGCAAATTTTATGAAATCCAAACGAGAATTTGAAACGAGCATTGCAATCTCCAGCGGGTTCTCTAATTCGACGTAAATCCCTATAAATTTCAATTAATTTTGCTCGGACAATCAGCGCTTCATCGAGTGTACGTTTATTGTAGCGGCGTGAAACCTTCATCCTAATTCCTGTTGTTTCGGAACCAATAACGCCTTTGTCGTCGTGTGCGATTTCTTAGAAGATCGGGTTCACATAAACACGTGCAGCCTTGAAAGGCAAGTAAAAGGACGATAACCCTAAGCGACTAACATTAGATAATATTTCTGAGAAGACTCTTCTAATGTCGCTCCTCGAGATTTCAAATTAATAGAATTTCAACATCTCTTTTTAGCAACACTTTTTATCTAACACGATTATTTTCTACAAGTCAGTTCAACTGAGTGCATTGCAGATAAATATTCAAAATAAAAGAAGAATTACCGACTAGTTGGAAAAAAGATATTGTAAATTCGCGAAATTAATTAATAGGGACGGTAATTATATCTTTGTGCTGTTTTGCAAGAGATGACAATTATATTGAACGACGTGGAGTTCGATAGTTTCTCGTAAACCAAGTCTGGAACTGACAGCAAATTTCCTACAAATCATGGTGAGAAGAGAAGCCAGTTAGAAACTAAGCGTAGTTGCAAACGTGCAGCTATTTCTAATATCATTAATTGTAATATCTATTTAGATATCTGTTTAATAATTAGATATTATATCGGTAATATCTATAATATCTTTAATAATAATAATAATAATATTGTAATAATGATATAAAAAAATATAATAAGAGCAAAACAATACAAAAAACGGTTTACCACGATCTACCTCCTTATTCCTAATCTCCTATTCTAATTGATTACGTCATCGCACATAGGATTCTACTTTTAACTCTCCGCCTAATATTCGTTGCGTTGTATTGTCCTGAAAACTTCTAGGGTCCCTTGCGTCATCGGTTGTAATCTAAGCCCACCTTTTCTTTACCGAAAAAATATCAAAATTGGTCTTTAGCTCTATTCTTAGTGCTCGCACAATTCTATATATACTGCGAAAGGGATCGTTTCGCTAAGTATGGCTCAACGTGGCCGTGAGAATTCGAAGCCCTTACGAAATCAAGGTCCAACGAATGGAAACTCCGTATACACGCGTGTAGAATTTCTCTATAACTAAAAAAAATCTTTCTCTTGCACAGTTAATCGCATGCGTTTGCTATTTTATGTTTATGAAGCATCATGAAGAGTTTTCTTCATGATTACTGTTCAATTTGTCCAGATGCACATTACTGACTTTCGTTGTGTCTCTTCGATTATCTAGAAATTCCATGTAGATCCATGACTCGACTTCCAATCGAGTTAGATTAGTTAATGACTTAGTTCGTGAAGATTGGTAACGACATAGAGAAATTTATAAATGATAAATTCCAATAACACAATGATATTGATTGTAAAGTGCTAAAACCACGGATAGACTTTAGTTCTTGATGACATTTCGCGAAAGAAATAAAAGACAGAATAATGGGGATCGAATAAGTATTTACATTTTAAAATTTATTCAGATTATAGTCTTTTTAATATTTCAAATTCTTAAGATACACGTGCAACGTGTAACTAAAATCATTTAAAAACCGACTGTCTTTTGATATTGCAGTGTTCTAAAATATACAATAGTAATATCTTTTTTATTTCTGCATTTGCGAATTTATTAATCTTTTTTTCGCATATCTGTTTAATATCTTTTCAGTGTATATTGTGCAATTCTATATCCACACAAAGAATATACATTATTTTAAATTGTTTTTTTGAGTTTGTCTCTTTACAGCGTGTCGAGTCAGAGTGAAATAAGATTATTTCCTCTCGCTGTATGTTGTGTGTGTGTGTGTGTGTGTGTGTGTGTGTGTGTGTGTGTGTGTGTGTGTGTGTGTGGGTGGGTGTGTGTGTGTGTGGGTGGGTGTGTGTGTGTGTGGGTGGGTGTGTGTGTGTGTGGGTGGGTGTGTGTGTGTGTGGGTGGGTGTGTGTGTGTGTGGGTGGGTGTGTGTGTGTGTGGGTGGGTGTGTGTGTGTGTGGGTGGGTGTGTGTGTGTGTGGGTGGGTGTGTGTGTGTGTGGGTGGGTGTGTGTGTGTGTGGGTGGGTGTGTGTGTGTGTGAGAGAGAGAGAAGCGTCACATGCATAATTATTACATCTCTGATAGTCCGGAAAAGCTAGCACAACGATCTTGTTGGATAACGACGCTACGCCATCAGGAACAAAGAAGCACAGCAGATAGCGAAATTCTCGTTATACGTACATCTCAACATCGATCGCTAATTATTCGCGTATATACTCGCTGCTTAATAACTGTAGCGGAATTATTCAGCTCGATTTTATCGTAAGATATAGATCAACACATGCATATTCTTATAACATTTAGTACTTATCCTTATATCTACCTGTGGTTAATTACATGTTTTCGCGTTTTGCGATACCAAGTTATTATTTACTTTTTAAACGTGAAAAACAAACATAGAGAGATTAGTAGGTATGCATTAATAAACACAGATAAAATTATAAATAATAATTTGTTTTTATCATATATTGTACATAATATTTGCGCATAACGATACCATGTACGATATCTACACTGTGTTACTTATATAACTACCACAACAGTAAATATGAAGTTAATAAATAAGTCCTATAATAGTAGTATCTTATTACTATTATTATATTTCATTAAATCAAATCTTTATTTTTAGTTAAATTAAAAACAAACTATATAATGTTCAATCCAAGGTAATTATTATAATACTCCTTTGTAAAACTTCTTTATAAAACATTTTTTTATACTTAAATTATATAAAAATATTTAGATTTTCTCGTTTTTTGCAATGCAAAGTATAAAGAAAAAACGGTCTAAATTGAGCGGTAATAAGATTTTTTTATAAAATAAATTTCTAGTTTACAAAATATAAAATATATAAAAATATGAAATAATATCGAATGTTTTGGAACTCATGAGTCCTTCTTCAACGATTTTTATAGATGTTACAATGTCATAGAGATGAAAGCATAATCTTCAGAATCAGACGAATACGTAAAGATGCTCCTGTTTTCATACATTTTAATATACAATTTCCATATTCACGCAAAAACAGGAGAATCAATTTTTTCGAACGAATTGTATCACACCATGTCGGTTAAACCGTAAGATTATGCTTTCATCTCGATGATATTGTAACATCTATAAGAATCGCTGAAGAAGGACCCGTGAGTTCCGAAACGTTCGATATTATTTTTATATTATTTTATATATTTTTTATATTTTGTAAACTATAGAAATTTATTTTATAAAAGAAATCTTATTACCGCTCGCTCGACTTAGACCTTTTTTTTTTTTTTTTTATAAAAGTATGTATTAGTTGTATTTAAAATAGAATTATAAAATATAATGTGTATAATCGTTCAGATTAGTCGAGCAAACATAAACGAGATTCCTTAACAGTTCTCAGTTCCATGAATTAAAATGGCTTTTTGTGGAAACTCGCCGAATTCAGCGATATACATATACATATATACATATGTATATATGCACAAGGTTAAACACGCGAATTTCCAGGAAAAGTCGCACGTGGATCCGGTAAATAATTACTAAACGAGATCATCGCACGCCTTATTTGCAGTGAGGTGAGTTTTTTGAAACGCACGAGCGAACGTGCGATCTTTCCGCAATTGCTCGCACGAGTAATTCTCGTGTACAAATATGAAAAACGAACGCGGATATTGGCGGGCACACATATTTCGCGGCGAGTGAAAAGAAGCAGAGAGCGTAGAGTACGCTGGTTGCCATGGAAGCATATTTGCGTTGCACGCATTCATTTGATCGATAATTCCTAACTCCGCGCGCTACAGGGTAGGTCGGTGCTGGCAGCTGAAGCTGCAGCCACAAGATCGCGATCGCTGCCATCGTCCTATACCCTCCCTCACCCGTTCATCTCGGCGCCCGCGCCGCGCGCCGCGCCGGCGCGAAAATGCTGCACAGTTTATATTTCAACCGCCGCAATATAAATACGTTATGTAAAAAAGAAAGTCCGCCGTAAAAGAGATGAAAAATTCTGTGAAATGTCGATGATGTGTAAATAGCTTCCGTTAACAGTCGCGAGGCGAATATTTCAAGCAATTCTACCTCTAGCGATGATAAGCTTGACCTTATTATTGACGCATGAAAAAGCGTATTATCCTTTAATTGTCGAGTAAACTGTACTATATTGTAAAGGTATCCGCGTGGTTCTGTCATACAATACGCTTGCAATTTTACCTAAAGCTATTACTTATCGAGACATCGGGGATGAATAATTGAAAAGCATACGGTCGATTGAAACAAGCATATAATTCTGGTTTTCCCGATTAAACGGTTTTTCAATTGTTTTGTGCACAAGAGTAAAGAAATTTAATCAAACGCGATACTGCAACGTAAGAATTTCAATTTAAATATCTAAAATATCAACATAATAAGAAATTTATGATTTTCTCTTAGAGCTAATATAATTTATTCTTGTTTCGTTCAACGTCTCTAAAATTATAAATTATTCGATGCTTTCATTAATATTCTTGTATAGGATGTAAAAGCCAACCGGATGTCCTTTAACATTACATATTCTTTTAAAACAAGTTTTTCCTCAGCGGAAAAATATCCACGGTCTACATGTAATCGATTGAAATAAAAAGCTTCCGGACAAAGAAAACTTCAAGGGAAAAACATCAATAAAATTATAGTCTTTGGTCACATTATAATAAGGATGATTCATATTACATAATGATAAGGAAAACTCACCTGAACATGACCGAGGTGTTGCTCCACTTGTCGACTAACATAGACGATTTTCGCTGTTGTAGTGACTACGAGAAAGAAACCTCCGCTGTCAACCAGGTGCTGTTATAATTTTAAAAACAAATCTAGAGTGATCTATTTTTGATCGTCTCAGTTGATTTGCTTAGAGATAAGTATTATATACTTACGTCGACAAAAAATTGCTCCAGATCGAATTGATCTTTAAACAATGGGGGAAGGAAGTTCATCGAGCCTCTTCCGAGTGCTGTAAATAATGTACAAGACACGCGACCGTAAGCTTTTTTTATCACCTGTATAATCGAAAATGTATAACGATATGGGCAAATGAATTTAACTTATCCGTATAGTTTATTTAGAGCCGCTAGAACAAGAAAATATAACAAAACGTAATGCAATTTGATAGATAAAATCTATCTATCTATACTAGAATTTGCAGCAATAACAATAAAATATAATTTCGTACTAATATTATAACATAAATATAGGTAATTAGAGATAATTCGATATAACGAACCATAAGAACATAATAAGTTATTAATCCAGGAATAGTCATCTTCTGAAATATTTTTATACCCTAGTAGCAAAACAATATAAATTGTTGTAAAATAGATATTGTTTTCTTTCTTTTTAGATATATTTTCTTTCTCTTTTAATAATTATTTCTTAGAAATTTAAATATATAATTCCATCAAAAATCCAAGAAGACCGTCATTAAAAGTTTTAATTGAAATCTTTATTTTTTGGAAATACACACTATGTAATAATAAGTTTATCATGTACTTAACGTGTTCCATTCCGTTTAACATTTATTTGATTTCACTTACATTTTTCAGATAATTGTACGTAAATCAATATCCATAAGGTTTTGAAAACCTTTTAATAAATTAAAATATTTTTATACCATACAACATTCTTAATAGCAAAATATTATTATAATAATTTAATGATTTTAATGGGAATAAAATCACCACTCCAAGTGATCGTTTACGTAAAAAAAAATGAAAAAACTCCCGGGTTAAGAAAATGCTTCAAAGGAAGAAGATATAGAAAAATATTCTGATAAGATTCTGATCGACTTACTGTAACGCGTCCTCAGGAAAGCGGTAGCTAATCTCAGGATGGATATTTTGTCCATTCTCCTCGAACTTCCAGCAACACTCGGCACAAGAGTCGCCATCGTCGATATATTTGCGTTGAGATTGTCGCGGCGTTGCTTTTCCGCCATGTTTCGCGACGCACGTGGATTGCTATAACAAAGAATGAAAACGACAAGCGAAAATTAATGACGCTCACAAATCACATTAACATATATAAAATAGAATAAAATAAATTATTCTGTACCTTTCCATCTCTAGAAATACATTTTCTTATGCTAATAGTGTAAGTGATGTACTTTGAATTTACATTTTCATAAATTTAGATACATTAAATTTATCGTACAAATTCTTATTCGTTTCATTCCATTTTCAATCAGAATTTTAATTAATCCAACCACTGATATTTTCCTTAATTATGCTTTTGTAATAATTGCTTAAATCTAAATATAAAAAACATAAATTTTATTCTCATAACACAACAAATATAAAAAGAAATGGACATTTATACATAAACAACCGATCCTAGTTAATTATATTTAATTTTTTGTCTCTATAATTTCTCCTCTCAGTGTCGTGAAATGTATACTCTAATGTATTTCTCGCAGAAGTCGTAATATCTTTATTATCGTGCAACTTCCCAGTACACAGTGAACTTGTATGCCATCACGCAACCATGCACAAAAATAAGGCCATGGCACAGCCACGATATATGATAGTTAATACATATGTGTACCGTGTGTACTTCAATAAACAGTCATGCGTATATCTTGCACGTGTGTATATATTTATAACGCTGAGATTTTTGAAGTACAATTTCGATGCACGTTAAATGTGTACGTATAAGAACATCAACTATTTTTATTACAAAATACCCTCAGACAGCACACATGTCCAAAATTGAGACATAAGACATCTTATAGATATTTTGCAAGAGATTTTTAATAATAATCATAAGCTTTGAATTTTTATCGCTACATTCTTTGTAATTTCTTCAATGTAGGAAATCAGAGGTACTTGGCATTTCACTCATCGTAGTTTGCGAAATCGATATCAATTATTCTCAGAGAATTTCTGTAGAAATCATTACAAGATGATACTAAATTGAAGATACTTAAAGAAATATATGAAACGCTTACGCCAAACGTTATATCAAGATATATATCGGTAAAAGATAATTATATGTAAAATAAAATTAAAAAACTACTATATTTGTAGTTTTATTCTACATTATATCCTTTTTATGTGGAATAGTTAGGGCAAAACATCAAGGCGATTCATTTGATCGTCAACCTTGAAATGATAATCGTTCTATTGTACTATTTCAATATACCATGGCGCATGCGAGTTAAATATAATAAATAAATAATAATCATTTCATAAACAACATTTTTGAATAAACTATATTCACTGTTAAAATCATCATAATTATAAATTTAATTAATCATTAGTGTATTTTTTTCAATTATTATCGATTTCAAAATTTAATTAAGGTTTCTATCCCTTAACAATAGTCACACATTACATTATAATATCAATATAACAAGAATTATATAAAATACATAAATTTTCTCTTCATAATACATTTACCTACATAAATTGATTTTTTCTTCAGATAATTAATAAAATAGTTATATTATTATTTATTAAAAGTGCAATGTGTATTAATATTAATATTCTAATATTATACGTACATACATATACACGCTTGTATATATAAATATTATATAACACTTAACAATTAGGATGTTACATATATAAAATTTTGAATTTATTTATAACGTAATTAACAATTAATCTTTAAAACTAGATTAAATTTTGTTCTTTGTCTTTTCGATTTTGTAGTAATTTAACTTAGTTTAGAAAGCAGATGAATCTCTTTCTAACTTCTTTGGCTTTAGAAAATAATGTTAATATATGCTAATAAATATTCCAAAAAAACTGAAACCAGTTTAAACCGAAAAATCGACTTCCTATAATAGTTTCTAAAGGTTAAATGTATACACGAGATATATGTCTCGAATATTTACAAAGGGATCAACAATTTCTTCAAATTATGTGAATAATTAATTTCGCATTGATAGATTGACACATTGATGGATTACTGTAACAAATGCTACTTCGAACGCAACACTATGTATAATATAAGCTTGCGTAATCGGATATTCAAGAAAGAATGACATGACGTATATTTTCCTCGCTAATTAACATATTATCAAGTACGCGATCTATTATGTAGTACGCGTAGTAAACCTATTCCGTTCACTATTATATGGTCATTCGATGCATCGATTATAATTTGCGCAAACATAATTCAACGCTTAATTTCTTTATAATTATTTTTATAATTAATTTCTTATCAGTAGAAACGAGTGCGTTCGTTGCATGTGAAGTCGCACACTTGAAACTTATTTATTCGGGACAATGTTGCTAATTTATGCGTTGCATCACAAGTGTTTGAAAATGACGACCTGTTGCTCGTCTGTGCACACGTATAAAATAGCCGAAGTGAGAAATGTTCGCCGTATCTTGACGCCGTAACACGTGCATTTATGACCCTAATCTTTTTGCTCATGCGATGGAATAGCTTATATAATAGGATCAAAGCTATAACGGTCTGACCCTCAATAAACTTCTTCGTTATGACCAAACCGTAAAAAAGACTGTAAGTAAATATACAAAATTATATGGCAACTTCTACCAGTGAGTTGTGAGTTGTGGTAAGATATTTAAATTTTCATTTTAAATCACTGCGTTGATTGATCACTTCTTTGGCATCATGCTCGTCGTAGAGGCATATATTTTTGTCACGAAGACAAGAACCGGTAGAGTGTGGACGATCTTGAATAAACAATCGATGCAACTGTAGTACGTAAATATATAATGTTACAATAATGTGCCGTCAAAAAAGGATCAAGCAAATTGTTAGGACGCCATGTGGGGGCACATTCTCGGGCACAAGACAGTTATAGATCAAGGCTAGCGGTGTGATTTCATTCGATTTACGATCTGCATGCGCTCGAGGTCTTCTCTTTGGAATCGCGGCGCGGTGATTTATTTCTCCCCGCCAACTTCGGTAAGTCTCCCGATCGTTTGCGAAAATCCATCTAATTGATTCAACACACATCGAATTCACCATTGAAAATATTTATCTTGCACGACATTTCTCCCGCGATACGTCACCGGCAATAAACAATCGGCGCTTTGGCGTAGCGTCTGGTATCCGCTGCGTATCTGGCAGAGTGCCTATTCCGTGAACTCTTGAGTATCTCGTGTTCGATAGAATGGAGCGCGCTATAATGTTAGCAAACAATATCTCTTTCTCTCGGGAACAACTTGAGAAATGATCGGAAGGACGAGGGCACGGTGATGTAAAACGCTACTCGAGATACGCGTCGCGTAAATAAAATGTCCGCGATCTATTGCGACTATTAATTTGCGGAGATAAAGACCGGAGAAATTAAAGATAGACAAATTGCTCGTTAATTATATACCTGAGAGTGGAGCTTGGTAAGAGAATTTAATTTTAGTATTTGCATGATAATCACAAATTATAGTAACATAAAACATTATGCGTAATCGTAAATATTAATGCATGAGTGCATTACTATATATAATATATTATCGCACCATTGCATTAACATTCACAGGTGTTTAATAAATGATAATTACTGAAAGTCTAGGAAGTGTTATAGAAATTGAACATCTATTTTGTCGATTATCGCTGTTAAGTGAAGAGGATGCGCGCGTTATACAGTTGATTGAAGTATGTGCTATAACATCGATGACGCAGATTACACTAACGTGAAATGCCATTCAGTACACAGTGTGTCTGATTTTAATCGATCTGCATGGATATTGTTAATATATTATTAGTACCATCAAAACTATTCTAAATAAAAATCAGAGATTTTCAAGCGAAACATTACATAACAGATATGATTTTTCCATAGCGCGTTTTAGACATTAGAAATTTCCATAAAATTTAATAAATTAAGATTATAATTACTATAAAATTCAGACGAGTTATTAATGTAAAAATAAATATAAAAAATAAATTGTCTTTCTGTCAATGCATGGATACTTGTACTGAATATTAAAAAGTAAAAGTTTTTATATTTTTATGTAAATTTTGTTATTATTATAAGTTTTTATATTTTTATGTAAATTTTGTTATGATGTCTTATGATAAAAAGTTCTTCCTTTCGAGCAACAAAGAACAGTTTTATACAGATTTTATCTTGTTTTTAGTTTTATATTTTTTGCGAAAATCTCATAAAAAACATGATACTAGATGAAAAATTATGCATTGACAGAAGGGTTAAAATTGTTACATAAGATTATAATTGCAAGACGTATAGTTTTATTAAGAGGGGATAGTAGGCAGTAAAGCACAATTTATAAATTTAAGTAAAAATTTGCAAGGTTTCTTTCATAATGATACTTGCATTCAAAAGTACAACCAAAAGTACATGTACAGATGTACAGAAAGGACATTGAAATTAAAAAAGCAGCGTGAGAATGTAAATTTATAAAAAAAATGTCATACATATGTAATCCGAAAATAATTGTTAAAAGTGAGGTTTGTTAAAAACTTATAGTAATTGAGATACTGTAATTAAGATTATTGTCAACAAGAAAAAAATGTGATATCAATTTTAGAAAAATTGTTATCCAAATATCGGTGATTTTTTTTTATGCGACTCAAAAAACTTCTTTTCTGTCCACATTGTACATTAATAATGTGCTTTCCAAAACAGCGTGCAAAGGTTATTTTTACACAATCTCGTGTTTACTTTGGCAATTACTCCAACAATGACCTTGAATCATGTTATCACATTGATAATGGTCAAGATTTTGCTTCAACGATAGAGTCGCAATTGAAACAGCTGGGGACAGCTTTAAGAAGCACGACAAAACTGGATAAAAGACAGAGATAGAGATAACTAATTCAATTCGTTGATAGGAACCCTTGTCCTAGACGAGTAAGCATTAAATTTTCGAATATTTGTGCACGTGTTATCAAGTTGTACAAATAATAATTCTTCTCTCGTCCTTCTGCATATGATAACAGCGAATAGATGAATATCACATTTTTTTGTTGTTGACAATAATCTTAATTACGGTACCTCAATTACTATAGTGTAACTAAT